CCTTCTCCCGGAGGGACTAGCCACATACTGTACATTATAGAATAGACTTTATTCAGAGCATGTGGAAGGGAGATTAGAGAGTAGAGACAGAGAAAGGAAGAGAGAGAAAGTAGAGGAGTAAAGGCTGGTCATGAGCACATGGATAGAGAAGGTGGAAGGGAATGGTCAGAGAGGGGTTTAGGAAAGGGAGTAAGAGCAGGAGAGCAAGAGAAAGAGGAGGGGGAGAGCAGCCCTTTTATAGTGAGTCAGGCATACCTGCCTGTTGCCAGGTAACTGTTGGGCAGAGCCTGGACAAAATGCTAACACTATGCCAAAAAGTTTGTGGATACTTAAAAAAAATTATCTCATAAATAGAGAATACTTTCCAAATACAAATACAGTCCTTTTCTGTTAGGTAAGACTGATATTGTTACTTTATGGGAAGAAAGGTTTGTAGGATGAATATAGCCGTGAATATTGTTTGGTGACTTGAAATAAGAATAAAAAGAAATTCTTTTTTTTTTTTTTTTTTGAGGGACACATTACATGACTAGCAACTCACAAATGGAGCTTACCAGATTTTTTTTAAATAAGTGAAGCAGTTTCAATATAATTACAGTTATGTTTATAAAGAGTAACCAGGTGTTACCTATGGCAAGATTGTGACCTCAGCGCCATGTAGCCTAGGTTTGCTAGCAGCATGATTGTCATCTCTCGGTGTGTAGTATTGACTTTTAGAGTCAGGAGTGGAAGGAGATGAGTAACTGTGACTTGAAATAATTTTCCTGACTAGTGCTAAACCACACAATTCCCTCTCTAGGTTTTGGTTTACATTTTACCTACCTCGGACAAAATAATGTATTAAATATTGTTCAATATTTTTCTTAAAGCTTTTAATATCAAATGTCCTCCAATCTGAGAAAAACATTCTTACGTTTTCAGTACAACTTATTGAAAAATACTTTAGTCATCTTAAATATTTGCCATGTCATTTTACTTTAATGAGTAATGAGTAATTTCCTGTCAATTTAATGATTGACATGAAATCCTTGAATTCACCCAGTAGAACCTACATCTTCTTTGTCTGAATTACTACAATAACAAAAGGGCCAACTTATTCTTCACTGTCTCTGGTGCATTCCCATGGATTCCATCTGCTACTGTGAAATACCTCTTAAACTCCACTTTGTAGACTCTCGTATTCCACTGCCTAGAACTGCTCCTTCACTATGAACATATAAAGTTCCGAGTATTCAAAACTGTCACATATTTTGAGAAAATTAGTTTCATGCACAAATGCCCTAAAATGGGCTTTGTGCTAAATATCCCATCATGAGTTGAAAACATTATTAAGTAAATAATGGTATTACAGAACTTCAATAGAAGCCTGGAGAGGAAGGCTTGAAGATAAGTGTTATTAAAATGCTGGTGGGAAGATTATCAGTGTCTTACATAGCATCTACTAAGCTTCCTAATGAAGTCCATTATTGCTACAATTAATTCACTAAATTTAAATTGTATTTCTAAAAGCACAATTTTGGTTATTGCTGAAAAGAGACTACCTTAAATGTGCCCAAAAATCTATGTTAACTTGTAGCTAAGTAAAACATCTGACACAAAGCCTGTTTCATGTATGATATATGTGTGCTGAGTAAGAACAGAAGATACATTCTCCTCTCCTCTGCAAGTTGAGGAAAATATCACATATCACTATCCTGGAAAAATACCCAAATTGAACAGTCAAAATACATTTTCTATTGAGTTCATACTATTTTTGCACTACTGAATAGTCTAAAATGTCAAAGGTGAACTCTTTTAGTTCATAGTCATCTGTAATTAATAAAGAAGATGGGATGTTTTGAATTGTGATTTCTTCCCTCTGTAAATTTTTGCTCTTAATTGTTTTTCAAGAGATTTTTGGGTTGATTCTCTTTTTTCATCCACTTTCCTCCTATGTTCTGTATCTCACTTGGTCTTATCAGAGAATAGCTCCCTCTAAAGCAATGCTAAATTCTTGTCCAACTGGAGAACTTTCCTACTTGAAATAAATAGTAGCAGGGACTTGCCTGCTACTGTGTGTCCGAGTCAGTATATATATATATATATATATATATATATATA